GCGTACTTCCATGGCCTGCTCAAAGTCCAGATCTCAATCCTATTGAGAATCTATGGGCCGAAGTCAAGAAAAGCATCTGTGAAAGGAAAAATTTGCCTTCCAACCTTGCTCAACTCGAACGACATGTTATAAGGGCATAGAATCAAATTCCGATAAAAACTATCGAAAATTTGGTTGATAGTATGCCGCAGCGAATTCGGGCTGTAATTGAAGCAAATGGAGGCCCGACTAAGTACCAATTATTTAGTACCAAATTTGTAGCATATCGTACTTTAATAAATATATTAATAAATATTTTTAATTAAACTTAAAAAATTTAAGTTTTATATTAAGCCAAAAAGCGTTCGGGGACTTTTGGCGGGGTCTGTATAACAGAATTTCCAAAATTTGAATCATAAGCACAACACATTGTGCCATTATGAATTATTTTACTGAATTAATTAAATCATAAAATTCCATTTGTAATAATATAAAATAAAAATAATAATTATTATCTTAAATCAGTTACAGTATGTTATCCCAAAGGTCATTTTCTTAAATGAACGTTTTTTTAAAAAGTATGACCTACATTATGATAACTCTGCCTAAAGTTTTCAGAAAAATATCCATTCAGGAAAATAGTTTTTGAATATGTTGAACATTGCCTAAAATTGTATATACAGTGGGTTATCAAAAGTATCTGTCACTTGCCAATTATCAAATAATTTTTAGCCAAGTATTCTTCTAATTTAAAAAGGCAATAAATTAGCATAGAAATTATTAAATTTTACAAACTTTTTTTATGAAATTATGATTGTTTTTTTTAAAGAATTTAAAAAAATTTTTTTTTTTCAAGTTGCTTTTTTTAAAAAAAAGCACAAAAGTAAAGAGCTTTCTATTTTTGAATGTAATGAAATCATTGGACTTCATAAAGGTAATCATAATCCTATAGACATTTCCAAAATTTTAAATGTATTGAGAACAACAATAAATGATATAATTAGTAAGTGAGAAAAAGATGGATTAGTATCTTCTGCTCTTCAGTCTAGAAGACTACCTATTTTTAATGATCATGATAAATAACATCTTGTTCGATTACTTAAAAATGATAGGCAGTAATCTGTTGATGAACTAACTGAAAAATTTAATGAATTGAAACTTAAAACTTCAAGTTTCTCTATTATATGTTATAACCTTTATAAATTAGGATATTATAAGCATGCTAGGGTTAGAAAACCTTTAGTTTTAGAAACAAATCATCTCAAATGTCTTAATTGGTGTAAAGAAAGAAAAAACTGGGAAAAGGAATGGAAAAATATAGTTTAGAGTGATGAATCTTGATATCTTTTATTTCAAAATAACTCTCACTATTGGGTTTGGCAAAAACCACATAAAAATATGATATTGATTGTCTGTTACTTACGGTTAAACAAGAAGGTTCTGATGTAATGGTTTCATTAATGATAAACTTGGTCCATTAGTAATTATTAGAAAGAATATGAATGCAAAAAAATATTTAGAAATTCTAAAAGAACATTTTTTACTCTTTTATGAGTCTCTTGGCAATGAAAATGTTTATTTTTTCAGGATGATAATGCTTTTATACATAGAGTAAAAACTGTAACAGACTGGAAATGTGAAAAACTAATAAGTTTTTTTCCATGGCCAGCTCAAAGCCCAGATTTAAACCCAATTGGTATTAAGCGCAAAACTAAAGTTAATGCGTCACCATCTTGAGAGACTGATTGATGAGTTAGAGTATTTCCAATCATCGTAATAATCCGATCAATGAGCTTTTTATTTAAAATGACGTTCATGACAATTTGTGTAATTCCATAATCAAATATTCGTAAATATGGTAATCTTTGTTTCCGACTACAAAAGAACGAAAGCTTATTTAAAATCTAAGAACGTTTGATCTTTTTTTTTAAAAAATAAAATAATATTAATACTTGGAGAATGAATTCCATCGCATCCGATCAATATATCCCCCCTTTCTCTCGTTCCGTCTTCAAAGATTGCCCAAACTTCATCGTTGACTTCATCGTATCCAATACATTTCTTTCCCCATTGTATATTCACTCCTTCTAACATCAAATCCCTTAATCTATCTCTAAAAGCATAAGCGTTAGAATTAGACAAATTTGCAAGTTCAAATAAATAATTAACTTTTGCTGAGTCCACTCTTAATAATTCGGTTCCTTTATCATCGATCAATAATATCTCACGGCTTTCTTTTTCGGAGATTGGAATTGGAATAACTTCGGGAAGACGAGTTACAAGAGACTCCGGAAGACAAGACATTAATGATCTCATTCCATGAGAGTTAATGAACACAGAAAATCCTTGCCATCGATCTAATTAAGAAAAAAAAAAATGATAAAAAATTATTTGCTTTATTTAAAGACCAATCAACTTTGATTATATACCACGTGGACCTGTATCTCGCTCAAATATTTTTACGTTAAATTTTTCCCCATTTTTATTCAAACGTTTCTGAATTCCATGATAAAGTAATAGTCCACCAGGTCCTGCACCAATAATTATAATTGTAGGGATATGATTATTTTGCATTTTTAGGAAAAAAAAAAAAGAGGATTATATATATACATATATATTTTTTGCTTACATAAATAATCTTTAACCTAAATTTGGTTACTAGCCGCAGCAATTATTTTTGTCCTTTCATTTCCGGTTAGTCGCAAATCGTACTGTGCCTCAGATGATCACACTCTGATAGAAACATGTAACACATATGACACGTGAAGTCTTGGGACTAACTCTACAGACTAATAAAGTTACTATCTTACACTTTCAACCTTCTTGTCTTCATTACAGGATTGATCGTGATAACCTACTACACAAGTGAATTGTGATAATAAATCGTTTTGTTTGTTAATCGTCAATTTCTCTTAGGAAAGGCCTTCGAGATAATTGAGATTTTAAGATGGTTAGCTTGGTTTCGGTACAATTCCATGTCTAACACCGGATTGATCACTTTTGATCGGAAAGTTTACGTAGAATCAGGGAATCAATTATATATATATTTTTTTTTTGTTGTTTTTTTATTTAAGGTTTAATCAATAATGGCATTCATTTACTAATTATTTTTAAATAACCTTGGCCTTGGTCATTCTGACATACAATTTATATAAAAATTTTCATTTTGAGGTCATTTCAAGGTAACTTGCCAACACTGTGTTCGATCACTCTGGGGCACTTTCCAAATCATAAGCCCCTATTCTTTTCTTTTGGTTTCTCTTTGGGCTGGATCCATGAAAGGTTTTTTTTTATATTGTCATTATTATTTTTTTTTATTTTTCTTTCTTCTATTAGGTGATTTCTTTTTGGTTTGATTTTATTTTTTCATTAAATTACTTTTTTTATTTTTATTTTTATTTTTTACTTTTTAGCTTTCATTATTCAGATGGCTAATTTGGAAGTATATGCGGTGCATATTTTTTGCTATTATTACTTTTTCCATTATCGTAAATCTTAAGCATGGTATAGTTGTTTAGTTAAGCTTTAGTTCAAATCAAGAATAATAAAACCACGATATTTGCTATGACTTCTATGTAAGGTACTTAATTTTGGGTAATTTCTAATTGTCAACCAAAAATATTATCCAATTCATGTTTTTTTGTGAAAATGAATTTCGGTTTTTTAAACTATCATTATTATTTTTTTTACAGGATTCGATGTACAAATTTCCTTTTAATAAAAAAGATTCGTGACAATACTTGAAAACGATTACTATTAATAAATCTAATCAGAAAAATTCGATTGTTAGTTTAAAGTTTAAATTATGCAATATATGTCTGGCATAATTCGATTCAGATGCTTCATAATAGATGATTTCTAAGTTTTAAATAAAACCAAACCAAAAAAAAAAATATTAAGGGACTAAAATTTTCTTATTTTATCTTTATTTATTTATTTTTTTTTTAATTTGATGTTGAAATAAATCATGTATTCCAAATTTAAAAATAAATATCGAAATTAAATATTGATCAATTGCAAATTAAAGATATTTAATACTTTTGAATGAAATAAATTACGAATAACGTGTAGCTGAGTGGTAAACATTAACACTTTTTTATTATTTTGAGACATTTTTTTCCGGGGTTTGTTTGCTTTCAATGATCAACATCTTGCTAGAATTTTAAAAGAAAGAAATCGAATGAAAATAAATCCTTACATTTCAATTTAGATTTTCTCTTGAATTTATTGTAACGATGACAACCTACTGTAAATATCAACATACTGTTTGTATAAGGTCAACCTGATATTATATGATGATAAATTAATTTCATCCGCAGGGAAGTTAGACGTTATGATGATAAGAATTATTGCAAAATATGTTATCGTACAAGAAAGATATTATATAGTAAACATTAAAACCGAAGAATGTTTAATGTACAGTAGATTTCGTGATACTTGTAAATATGTTCACGCAGATAAACTTTATTCTGACAACATGTTGATGATTCTGCTTCTCTAATTAACAAAACAAAAATTAATTGTAGATAATAAATTCATGAAACTCAACAAAATATTTTGATAAGGAGAATAAATGTTAATGAAGCTTTTGCTGAAAATCAAAGGTTAGAAGAAATATATCAGGTGTACATTCTAAAAAAAGTAAGATTTTTTTTTTTTTTGTAGAATCAAAAGTCTGATATTGTTAATATTATTTATTATCTAAAGAGACATTTGAAACCTTGTCACAATTTGCTTATTTAAAATTTTCAATCTTTACACTAATAAAATTGTCTTTTTTAGGCTGAATTATAATATTACGTATATTTTCGTTAATTAGCAAAACTAAAGGGCAGAATATAATGGAAGCACGATCCCGTAGGCAAGAAATATATTAATATGGATTGTAACTTTATTGCATAAAATACAGGTATTTTTTTTTTTTTAAAAAAAAGGCTGCTGATGCATTACAACCTTTTTTTACATAAAATTAATAGCGAAGAATATCCCATCAAACGAGTATTTCATGGCCTCAAATTATAAGCAAGCTAATGAGATTCTGCAAATTAAAATGCTTTGAAGGGCTAGAGTGAAACAACTTACAATTACGCAATAAGTAATTATCCGCTAGTTTGGATTTTGATTTCTTTCTTTTAAGAATTTACAAGGAAAGTTGTATGAAAAAAACTAAATAACAATTATAATTAAAGATTTGAGTCTATTATAATATAAACGGTATGACGGAGTATGTTTGTGAATTCAATCAAAGTTCAAGACTTTACATTACTAATTATAGAATTATTTACGGTATCTATTTAATATATTTTATCTCTTTAGAAGATCGTAAAATGTCTCCTACTTTAAATTCCATGGAATTCACTTAGCGCGAAATGATTGCACTTGGTATGAGATAAGAGAAATAGAAAGAATCAACATAATCAGTAAGAAGTTTAGGAAATTTAATGAGATGATGACCCAAACTTTCAAGAAATATAATATATCATGCTATTTATTACTTTCTTTATCAAGACACAATAGAATTGTAGTGCTTTATAATGGTCATCACACATCGAATTGGAACATGCCGAAGTAATTTAATTACCGTATTTACCATAAAATTATTTAATTATAACCTACTTTTTTAATTGTCAGGATAATTTAATGATATATGATATAAGAAATGGTTAGTAATGTCATGCCTTTAACTCTTACAGAACTAGCTACTCAAAGGTATAATTGTTCATACTAATTGTTTATATTTTTAATTATGTTTATTATAAAGAAGTAAACCTGGACGTTAAAAGAATACTCTGGATTCTATTATTTATTTCATTTGTTTCCTCGATGGGAGATAAGCAAAATTTTGGACCAGAAACCTGAAAGGAGGATATTCTGAATTTTATAATTAACAATTTTTCTAAATATGCGAAGTAAAATAATTACCTAAAATGATGTTAAACTCGGGTGGTCTGATGACGCAGATCAACCGATTTGAGAATCGTAAAAAAATAGATTTGCTTCTTTTGAAAATAAAAAGGAGTTGTTAACAATAATGATTATAAATAATATTCCATAAATGAAAGTTAAATAAATCCGTCACGATATTTACCGCGATCCACAGCAGTAATATCAACTTATACTTTTCGTATAATGAAAAAAAAATTTAATATAATAATTTGTTCTTTTTTCAATTTTATTTATTAAAAATTACTAACGATATATACAGCATTAAAAAAAAAAAATAAGAAATCTATGATTAAAATTATTTATTTACATTATTTATTAAAATGTTATAATTTTAATCATAGATTTCTTATATTTTTTAATGCATTAGTATAATAAAATTAAAATGAGAAATTTCGTTACTGTAATCACTAAAATTACAATTATATTATTTAACGTTAAGGGAAAAATGAATTTTAATTATGCATTCTAATTTATACATAATTAGGTAGAGATCTGCAAAACCGATTTTTTTTTTATATCTTAAAAAAAAAAAAACCTTCTAAAAAAAAATCCTTCTCCCTTTCTTATTTCTCTCCGAGAAATATTCCTTCTAAAAAAAAAATATGAACAAAATTCCTTTTACTTACAAATAATGCTTCAAGTCTTCGATGATTTTTGTTATTCGTGATATATCTTTCCTTCATACTGACACACCATCTCGTTTACTCTTGGTCACTGCTGCCAGGCAGTAAAGGCTTACAAATGGTTTCGGCTGTTATAACGCTTGGGGCTTCAACCTGTAAGTGCAAAATAGACTTTAAATTTGAAGGTTGGGAACGTGTCCTTTAGCAACTTCTCTTACTGAAGTATATCAAATTGTGAAAAATTGAAAATACAGTAAAATCACATTAATTTTGTGACTCAGCAACAAGTTAGCACGTTTAATCTTGAACGATAAAATTATCGAAAGGTAAATTTGAACCTTAAATATTTTAACTTCTTTTAAATTTTTTTATTTAACTATTTAAATTTTTTACAGATTTTTTTTTAATTTGATTTTTTTAAATTTTTTTAATACTTTTTTTGATAAACTTTTTTTTAAACATGTCAGATATTTGTACCGCTCGTGCCCACTCGGTATCAATATATTTGTTTTCGTTCCTTATGAAAAGTGATCCCTTCATAGTTATATAACTTTATTAGTTGATAACTATGAAAACGTTGATAAAATGGATGCCCACTTTTTCTTCCATAAATCGTTAAGTTTAATTAATGACGATGAAAAAATGTCTCGAGAAGTCCGTGACGTTGCCCAGCGACTCTTGAAAAGCAAAAAAGTAAGTATAATATGCATATGATTATATTCAGATGAGGTACCTATTAAATTAATTTTTAATGGGAGTGGTAACACTTATCTTACCCAGCATCCAGCATCCAGCCATCCATCTTACTTTATTTTTTTTTTATCTCTGTTTCTTTTTTTCTTTATATAGACCGATGTTTTTAAAGCTAATAATAGCTTCTGGAACACTTCGTCACCAACATCGTCATCGTCCCATAAAGGAAACAAAGAGAAAGTGCCTACTAAAGATGGCAATGGGTGGTCAGCGGTCGGTCAATAATCTTTAACTGATCGACTGACTGGTTGTAATACTAATGTAATTTTAGCTTATTATTAATTTTAATTATTATTTTTATATATACTATAAAATAGAATTTATTTATATAATTTATAGCAGCATTTGTTCTAATATCGAGAAAGCAACAATCATTTAGCAAAAGATTGTGAGAAACAACCACCATTGGATAATTAAAATATTTTATTTTTTTATATTTGGTATATTTGTATTCTTCAATTTACTTGTTTTTTATGATTTTATAACAAATTTGATCAATAATGGATAATTTTTTTTTTGTTTTTTTGGTTTTAATGAATTTTTTTTTGAATTATAAAATTTGTTCAGATGCCTTTTTTTTTTATTATTTATTTATTTTTTCTTGATTTTGAAAGCTAACTCATTTTTTTTCAGTTTTTGGGAGATATATTTTTTTTTTTTCAGGTCTGAATTTGGTATGGTAGAATTTTTATTATTTCTTGTAATTAGTTAATTTTCTTTTCGATTGTGCTACTGTGGTAAGGCTTAAATGTTATGTTTGTTGATTTTTTAGGTCCTTTTTCAGGCTATGATAGCGGAACTGGTACAAGAAGAAATTTTCTTAATTTTATATTTTTTCTTTAATTACTAAAAAGACGATTTAATGTACAGTAACTCTAACAGAAATTATACTAAACTCAGAAAAAAACCATTTCCATTTTGAAACGCGAAATAAAATTTTCTGTAGTAGTACGGTGTATTTATTTATCGAATAAATTAAACTTGTAAATCAGATTTTTATAATTGTCTTGAAAATTACGTCATCCATCCACAAAAGCCAAATTGCATTAATATTGATAAATTGGGAAATTTGCTATTAAAATCGAGTTACGAACAAAGTAAATAGCTTACCTCCATATGTGGGGATTGGAATCGATACTACCAACCTACTATAATCGATGGACACAATGAAAATAATCAAATAATCGAACAGATTTAATAGGCAAAAATAAAAATAAAAAAAAAGATATGAAAAAATAAAACGGAATGATTAAAATAAAAATAAAATAAAATACCAATTGAAAAAAAAAATAAAAAGATCTTTACCATTTAATTCCAATGTTATCGCATCCAAAAGAGGTGAGAAACCTAAAAAAAGCAAAAATTACCCGAAATATATTAAAAAAGATCATTCGATCTGAAAATTTGCACGAATAAGTCGGCGATATTACTTCATTCGCAGGTCGCACAAATTAACAAGGTAATTTAATCGGGAAACAAGGAGTTTCCTTATATGGATATAAAGTATAAAATGTTGCGGAAAATATTTTACCCACGTTTAGTTATAAAGCAGAGGAAAATAAGATTTCTTTTCCGTATACTTTAAATTTATGGAGCAATACAAACATATTTCATCTATATCGAATTGTGCTTCTTTAAGTCTACAAACACGTAACTTAGATAATTCACAAAAGGAATGTAATTGTCGCAATCCCCTAAAAGGGCGTAAGATTTGCTGTCAATCAAACACACTTTGCGAGGATAAGACTTGCCCTCTTATCAGATATTTGCAAAATGATTATCAACAAGATGAGATAGTGAAATTCTTTCCCTATGATCAATTCAATGGTATAAAATTTATTGCCGATGACGGATTTAGTAAAATTTATACAGCCACTTGGGATAATGAAGAGCTCAATTTTGATCGAAATGCTCATGGCGCAGTAGCTCTCAAAAAAATTAATACTTCAAAGAAGCTAAGCAAGGTATAATTTCCACAATTTTAATTATTCTTAACATGATCAAGAACTAATTAAAATTGCAATTAAAATGATTCAGCAAAGTAGAAGTAAAAAATGTTATGGAATTACTCAGGATCCTATCACAAATGAATTTCTTTTAATTATAGATAATGATATATTCGATGATTTAAGACATCATACTTCAACAGTTCACCTACAACATGAGAGCGGAAATGAAGCTGTGGATCATTTTATCAAATATACACGAATAAATAGCGGTATATTAGACATGATGGAGTTTGTTCCATACGATCGGTTCAAGGAGATTGAATTTGTTGCTGAAGGTGATTCCTGTAAAATTTATAAAGCTACCTGGATTGACGGTTGCATCGATCGTTGGAATCATGAAAATTTAAAATTTAAACGGTGTGGCTCAATGCAAGTTGTTCTTAAAAAGCTTGAAAATTCTGAAAATATTACTCGCGAACAGATAAATGAGGTTCATATTAATCTTTTATTCACTAATACTTAACAAATAAATATTAATTACTAGATCATATTCTTTTAAAAAAAAATATCAATGCAGCTCAGCTGGTTTGATGGCAAGTGTTATGGAATTACTCAAGAACCCATTACCAAGGATTTTGTGATAATTATGGACATTTTCATATTAAATTTGAAAAATTATGAAACAAAATTATTATATAAAAGTGGAAATCAAGTTGTAGATGATTTTATTAGATATATCAATCTAGAATTTAATCAAAATAAGGTAATGGAGTTTGTTCCCTATAATCAATTCAAAGATGTAGAATTTATTTTTGAAGATGAATACAGAAAAATTTATAAAGCTACGTGGATTGATGGCCAGATTCAGTATTGGGATAGGAAATTATTAAATTTTAAACGGGGTAGTTCTGTGAAAGTTGTCCTTAAAAGACTTAATAATTCCGAAAATGTTACCTCGGAAGGTCTAAATGAGGTACAATGTTAATTTAATTATAATATATCTTAAAATTATACAAAAACTCACACACATTCTCTCTTTATTAATAATATTTATTTAAAAAAAAATTCAGTTCAGTTTGTATGCAACCAAGTGCTATGGAATCACTCAAGATCCTGTCACAAAGGATTTTATAATCATTATGAATTATCAAATATTAGATAGCTTGAAGCATTATATTTCAGCAAATCACCTATTTTATAAGAGTGGAAATAAATTGGTAGATGATTTTATCAGATATATGCAAATTGATAGTTATCCAGTGACCGAGATTATGGAGTTTGTTCCCTATGATCAATTTAAAGATATAGAATTTATTGCCGAAGGTGGATTTAGTAAAATTTATAAGGCCACATGGATCAATGGTCCGATTTGTGGTTGGGATAACGTTAGGTTAAATTTTAAACGTTGGAGTTCTAAGCAAGTCGCTCTTAAAAAATTCCATAATTCTAGAAATATTACACTAAGGGAGCTAAATGAGGTATAAATTCTCGTATAATAGTGAGTTAAATTTAACATAATGAAATTTGTTAACACCAATGTTCTTTTTTATTTTAAAAAAAAAATATATAAATTCAGCTTAAAATATTTCATGACTGTAATCCAAAAAAAGAAAATAATTATGAATTTGATCTTTGTTGGTATATAAATAAACATTATGGAATCACTCAAGATCCTGTTACAAAAGATTTTATGATAATTATGGATTATTATAAATCAGGTGATTTAAAAAATTACCTAAAAAGTGAATTTGATAAAGCTAGTTGGAGGACTAAATTGGACAAACTAATCTCTATTATAAAAGGACTTAAATATATTCATAATTCGAAAGCTATACATCGGGATCTTCATATTGGAAATATTCTTATAGACTACAACTCATTAAAAATATCTGACTTAGGGTTGAGCAAATCTTCAACCGAATCAACAAACGATGACAATGATATTTACGGGGTTATTCCATATGTTGCTCCAGAGATTTTTCAAGGAAAAAAATATACTATGGCTTCAGATATATATAGTTTTGGTATAATTATGTGGGAGTTTATGACGGGTAGAAGGCCCTTTTGGAATAGAGCTCATAATACCGAGCTAATTATTGATATTTGTGATGGTCTTCGTCCTCCAATAGTCACAAATACGCCTCAAGGTTTTGTTAAATTAATGCATGAATGCTGGAGTCCGGATCCGGATAAAAGACCAGCATCTATTGATGTAATGATAAGATTATATAGAATATGGAGATTTGAGTGTAAATATCCAACAGAATTTATCAAATCATCCAATGTTGGGTCCATGGTAACAAATAATGCAGGTGCAGTCTATTCAAGTAGGTTGTTAAGTGGTATGATAAGATCAGCAATATCGACAAGAAGTTTGAGAAGTCAAAATATTAATCCAAGTTTAGGTAAGTTTTATTATAAGATGACATTCTATTAACGAGAAAATGATTATTAATTACCTTTGTTAAATCATCAGATTTATCTATATCTAACTCGAAAAATATTGAATCTTACGGCGGTAATTACTTATTTGAATAAAAGTTTATTCATAATAACGTATCATATTAACAATTATTACTTTTATTAAAAGGTAAAAGAAAATTTGAAGATGATAGTATGAAAGATGATAAAGTCATCAAGAAGAATAAGCTTGATGGTATGTATTTTTATATTTTATTACCCAAATATTATTTAGTTTAAGTAATATCTTTGCCGGTTTTTCTGTTACTGTAGAATATGTAACAAAAGTACTTGATTATGATATATAAATAAATTAACGGAATATTATAGGTATTTATTTTATTGCTTATTTATGATGTATCGATTCGAATATTATCAAAGAAATAATTATCTTATTATTATTTTCATATTTTGTTCTAGTTTAAATTTTTTTAATTTCAATTATTCATCGTCATTCTTATATTACATTACAATAAACATCTATTAATTGGTCTAAATAATTTATATGAATTCTGAGCCATTAATTTTATAATTTATTACAATTTCTAATACCTATTAAAATTCAACTATTTCCATTTTATTATTATCATAAAAATTTTCATATTCGGTTATTTACGTCAATTATCTATTCAATAAAAGATTTTGCAAAAATTATTGATGAACAACATCGGTTGGTGTATAATGTTTCAACTGATATGTAAAAATAAGAATGTTACAAGTAAAGTGATTAATAGTTGCATTTGACTATTATGGTCAAACAGAAATGCAATAAAAATATTTTATTGTGAGTATGACTTTTAGATAGATTAAGATTTT